TGTCGATCATTCAACACTGCCTTGGGGACATTGCAGTATATCTATACAGCACACTAATGTTGAATCAACATCTCAGAAATGTTGAATTGCAAGATTGCAAATGTTGCAGCTACATCGCGAAATGTAGATTCAACGTTAAAAAGACATTGCAGGAATGTTCAATGTCCCTTGAATCAATGTCTTAGAGACACTGCAATTCAATATTAATTCAACATTAATTTAACGTATAAATAAGCAATGTAATCATTTAATCCGCACAGAATAATAATATTTGTTAGATATCTATTCGATTTTTATGAAACCAAAATAAAAACTATTATAAAACGTAAAAAAAAATAATTTACGTTTACAGTGTTCCCAAGGAATTAATTCCTTCTAAATTAATATTCTGATCCCACGGTCACCCATCCAAGCCACGACCGCCGCCAACGTTGGTTAACTTCTGTGATCGGGAATCGCAGACACTTCGTGATGATCCATGATTACTTGATGTTAAATCATAGATATATTCTTAATATACTATATACTTAATATCATAGATATATTCGTGATAGATCAAATTAATATAATTATCAAAAAAACATCTTTTAAAATATATCTTTTTATAAACATTAACATACAATAACATGTTTGATAATCAAAATGACCAACATCGATTTCTGCGTAAAGATTTATATTGTTTGTAAATAAGCTTCGTTAGGAAATCAAGTTGAAATCGTGATAGTTTCTATTTACTTAAATTTGTTTATATTTAACAAAATTAACTAAATTACTTGTTTATACTTTAAACATAGACCTAAAATTTTAAAATATAATTAAAAAAATACATGATTCATTATAATTTTATTTGTTTAAAAATTTATTTTTTATTTAATAAGAATTAAATATATACATATATATATATATTATATTATTTTTTTTCAATGCAATGTTTTTATTAATTGTTTCAAAAGATAATCATTTTTTCTATGTAATTTCAATTTTGCAGCAACATTATAAATAATTAATCTAGAAAATTCAACATAGATTTAACATTGCAGCAACATTAACAATCAATATAGAAAATTCAACATATATAGTAATTTCAACGTTACAGCAACATTAATAATCAATATAGAAAATTCAACATAGATTCAACGTTGAAAAAACATTCCCACTACAACATTCAACATTGCAACGTCTCAGCAACGTTCTTTCAACGTTCTGTGCTGTATGGGATATAATTGTAAATAAAAAAAAACTTATTTGTAT